CAGGGCTTTAGAAGTTATAAAATTCAGATGTTTTAATTAGAGATGCCATTGCAGAAGTGGTACTTGATTGCCCTGTGCCACTGTCCTCACCCTCCCAAAGCTGCTATAGGAGGTAAGTCCTTGGTGTAAGTTTCATGCTAAATAAAGTGTACAGTGTGTTCAGTCTCTTCCTGAAATGCTCCTTTGTAAGGAAAGACAAACTGCATATTTGAAAATTACTCAACTGAAGGATTAAACCAATAGTCCCTGTAGGACCTGCTGGTATTCACTTGCCATAAGGCAGTATTTTCTCCAGCTGTAGGTCTGTTGAGATTTTTGATCTTCCATCAGCTGCTCAGCAAGGGGCCAAAATGAACAATAAAGGTTTAAAGAGGTCCTCAGTTTAGGAGAGCTGCTGGTTTTCTAAGGTTAGGGTTGCTGTCCTGAAGTACCACAGCACTCTGTTGTCTGTGCCAGATTTGGCAATGAGCTGAGTACCTGTAACAACATCTCCTAGTGATTTTCAGTGTTGAGACCCAGTTAAAGAGAGATTATATATTGCAGAAACTGATTCTGTCAAAGAGCAGAAACTGATTCTGTCAAAGAGTGGTGTCTTGGATGTTTGTATAGTGAGAGAAAAATAAGTAGATATCACATATGGTGATATGGCATCACTGTATATATACAAAGTTCAAACGTCCTAGGTTTGAAACTGTGCCACATAGCCAGGTACTCTGAACAGACATTTCTAGAGGGGGAGAAGAGAAAAATAAACTAGCAAGCAAAATTCAGTTTAATGAAATGTAGCAGCTGCCACAAAGGAAATCAATGGGATATGTACAACTGGCCTTTTAGTAATGCATAATTACTGTAAGGCTTCTAATTAGTTTCCTTTTTACAATGCATCTTTTAATACCAATTTGTAAGTGTCTACGAACAAGGGTTTACATTTTGTTTCCTTTTTGTAACCTCAGGATAGAACCAAGAAACCATGAGCACATGCCCTTATTTGGGAGAACCCTCCCTCTGCAATTTATTAACATTTATTTGCACTGAACATACAACCTGTGGTTCTATACAGCCACATAATGAAAGGCGTCACCATCATGGGATTTGTCTTTTGTGCTCGGCAGGGTCTTGCTCTTCTCTCCATGTCCAATTGTAGTCACTGCTGGGGACATGAAAGGTCCACTGTGTCTAATATTCTGTGACCTCCAGAATGGTTGCTCTTTACAGGCTGGTAATTAGAGGGTTTGGCTTTGCATGTATAGATACCCTGATATCACAGAGAGCATAAAGCTGTGCTATGTGTCTCAGCACAGAAAAATTGGAAGTCTGCCTTCTTGGCTCCCTTCTGTCATGCCCTTCTTCCTTCATTTGATCTTAGCCTACAAACAAGCAAGCTCTACTTTATGAAAGCTTTCTCTTGATCTAATTTGAGTTACTTTTGTCCTTCTCCTGGTGCATGTGTGCTTGTGCTGTCTAGTCATTAAGTCCAAGTAACCACAGCATTGGTTTGGTGCTGTGCTGTGCATGGTGTTGAGGTATGCTTCAGCTCCAAGCCCCACATTTTTATTTTGCAAGAAGCTCAGCTGAGCTGCATTTGGAGGAAGGATCAGGCAGAGGAAGAAAAAAAGACTACAAGAGAAGTAGTTCTTTAGCTTTGGAAGCAAGGGCAGGGTCTTCAAATGGGGTCATGCAGCATTCTTTAATAGATGTTTGGTTCTTTGTGGATAGGTACAATCTCATGTGATCTGGGGCAAAATGAGGATAATCCTTGGGGTAGTTTCTTCTATTTCTAGTGGAGAGAGAAACTAGAGAGTATCTGGGCTCCCTACTTGGCTGCATGTTAAAGGCAAGAAGTGGGGTGGGATGAAACTATGTCAGAACTTTCCTATCTCCTTCTGAAAGTCCCCACCTTTATCCCCAGGGTTCTCAGATAAAACCTATCAAGCCATCAGCTCCCAAGCACACCTGTCCCATGCCTTCTGCATTTTGAAGGTTCTCTCTCAGGGCTAACCCTCCTCCAGCTGGTCACTGAGAGGCTTTCCTGGAGGTTTGGCACAGCTGTTTCTTCTATGCTGGAGCTTCATCAGACCACAAAGTCATTGGACCAGCTGCCAAACCCACGTAAATCACAAAGGCTCAGCTTAAATGTAAAGACACAGGTCTATCCTTGTCATGTGTGCCTGCTTTCCCACAACTCCCACTCCCCTGCCCAACTTTTCCCAGTTGGCATCTCTGTCTCACAAGGCACTGTTGCTATAACAGCTGTTTTGTTTCATTTAAACACCTACCTCAGCTCCTGTCCAAAATGCAAACATTTCATTAGCACCTCATCTCCTTGGCTTCAGCCCACAGCACTCGGCCATAATGAAGTGCTGCACTCAGAAATATAACGTGGGGAACACTTGATTAATGCACTGAGACAGGTGAGGGGAATGACCCTCTGGGAAAAGCTAGGGACTAAATTTATCTCGGATGTAATGCCAACAAAGACAGTCTACCAGCTTTGTTCAGATACGTGATAAGGACGTGACCCAAAGTCCTTGGAAATCTTCCTGGAGCCTTTGTGTTTGACCCCAGGCCCAAAGTGATGTGAAGTGCCTGGTTTCAGGTAGTCACTTCAAGAGGATGGATGCTCAGCACTGGGTGTGGACTGCACATGGTGCAGGAAGCAGTGTGTTAGGCTCAATTGGTTTTGTCTCTCAAACTTGCATGCACACATATGTGCACATTTAAAACAAAAGAAAGAATGGATCAGATAAAATATTTTTTTCTGGGGGGAAAGTCTTTGCGGCAGATGTTTCACAGTAACACAAATATTTCAGCATCTGTTTCATATTCTGATGAACAGACATTACCTTTCTGTCCTGAGCCAGGAGCTGGATCTGCTGCAAAGACATATTCCACCATTCAGATATTGATAAAAGTATGGAGGATGTTGTTTTAGCAGAGAATTTAAGAACTGGTAGGAGCTGAGCTAAAAGGAGGTAAGGCACATTGTGTGATAACATTGAAAGGGGATAAAAATCCTCATTTTCTGCTTTCCAGGCATAAAAGGTCTTTACAACAAAACACCATGTTGTGTAGAAGCTGCACCACAAAATAATCAAGCTTTTTGGTCACTGGAAAAGAATACCATGTATTTTTTTGCCTGTGAAGAGATAAATTCCCAGACTATACTACAGAATTTTATTAAGAATGGCAGAGATCGGGCTTCCAAATTCTAAAATGCAGAAGAATATCAGATGTAAACGCTATGGCTTTTTCCATTTCTGCTTGACTACTAATTATAACCAGCAGCAAATGTGTTAAGATAATTTTTAGACTATTCAGTAGAATCAGTTTAATAATCAGCTTAAAAATTGATTTATGGTTATCAAGTTCCACTTAAGACCAAATGAGTGAGGCATTCTGTTTGTGGTATAGGAGAGGCCTGGCATAAGAACAAACAAGTTAATTGACCGTGAATAAATGTAACTGTGAAAGTAGGAGCTTTGTGCTGTCAGAGGAGCCCAATTATGGTGCAGTCTCCCAACAGGAAATACGATGATGTGAGAAACCTTGCAAACTCAAGGAAGTTGCTGGCATTAAAAGCACCAGTGGTGGCAGTTCTAGCTGTCTTTGCTTCTCCTCAAACCTTGCTGTAATTGATATATTTGTTAAAGTCATGTGGATGTAGCAATAAATTCTAGTTTGATGTGATTGCATCCTCCCATTGCTCATTGGCAGCTGACCATGACTGGTGAGTGAGTCAGGATGCTCTGTGCTCTCTGTGCTGCCCATTGCCATTGTAGCACTCCTCCTGAGGGCTCTGCTGGAGAATGGGGCTGTGCCACAGCTCCTCTCCACCCCTGGGTTTAGCAACAGTATCAGCAGTAAATACTGAAGTATTCCCTCGACAGTGAGCCCATGGGGCACACTTCAGGCTTGGAAAATGTTGAAGTCCCCTGGGACTGTTGTCAGCTCACAGAGCAGAGGTGTGGGTTTGATGCTTGTGTGCTCAGCATAAAGGAAATTATTATGAACAGCAATTTCATCGTGAAGGGGAGGTTGTTTCTGCAGGCAGCATTAGCTGGCAGTGGAGGTGTTTCTCTGTGACTAGACCCTAACCAGCTGAAGAAAGCATGATCAAAGTAGCTTATTTTTTATCCTTTTCCTCTGCACAATCAGTTCCATCAACTGGTACAGCTGGTCTCATTAAAAAATCTTAGCTGAAAAGCGGTTGAGTCAGCTCTGGTTAGTAACGATGCGGAGGGTTTAGGTTGAGAAAAGCCTTCGGTTTGGCTAAATTCTACTGCAGTAATTTTGCAGTCATGAGACCAGTACAGTTTCGTGTGGTCCTGTGTGTGCATCCAGATTAACCTGTGGGAAGTTATCCATGGGAGAGCTCTTTGTGCGTGGCAGCCCAGGGCAGAAGGTGCACTGTAGGAGGGACTTTCCGCAGGGCTGACTCCTTCCTCAGTGCAGTGATTTGAAATGTAGTGTCTTATCTAAATCTCTGTGGGCACCTGCTGCTGCTCTGGATGAAGTGGTGTAACTCAGCTATCTCTGTGTCTTCATGGCTGCCTGCTAGGGGGTTATGTGGTGGGAAATGTTTTAGGAAGCGTAGCCAGGTACAAATACCTTCCTCGAGTGCCCCAGCCCTACTCTTGAGCTCTGGTGCTGCAGATGGGTTTTTCCTGCATGTTTCCTTAACCATCATCTTCCTCCTACCCCTCCTTCCCCACCTGCCCTAATTCCTTCTTTTTCCAAGCCCAGAGCTGATGATTATGGAAGCAGAAAAGCACCATTCCCAGCCTGCATTTATAATAAAATCAGTATTTCCTCCCTGTCCCATCTGATGGTATAAAAGTTGTCCTGCTCCATTGCAGGCTGCCCTGATGGGTGGGGGAAGGAGATGCTGTCATCCCCCTGTAAACTGATGTGTTTGGAGGATGGGACTAAGCATATGTCAGAGGTCTCTGATGCTTTAGGTTTGCTGGAGCCTTTTCTCACTCCATCCCTCTGCCTTGCAGGCCATGGTGGAGACGGTGAACAACCTCCTGCAACCTCAGGCTCTGAACGCGTGGAGGGACCTGAACGCGAGCGAGCAGCAGCGCGCGGCCACCAAGTTGCTGGACACGGTGGAGGACAGTGCCTTCGTGCTGGCTGACAACCTGCTGAAGACAGACATCGTCCGGGAGAACACTGACAACATCCGTAAGGGGCAAATCCCGCAAGTACCGAGAGCAGCCAGTGGAAGAGTAAAGGCTGTGGAGCCCGGCTTTGGGCTTGATCCCTAGATTAATTGGAGAGCGATTTGCTAGATATGTCTTGGGCCTTTGTCTGAAGGACTTCAAAGTCTTTCCAAAAGAGCCTGAAGGAATAAGGCAACTCTCTACCCTTGAAATCCCATGGAAAATGAGCTCCTGACCTGCCTTTATTACTCCCAGCTTTGAGGGTATAATCTGTGCTAGAGCAATGAGAGCACTGCTTCACAGGGGGATTGTTCATCGTAAAGCAATTGTGTTTCATTTCATACAAATTTGTGTCTTTATTCAGCTGATTGTTGATTTTAATTAAAAAACAAGCATGATGGAAAGCACCAGCACTCCCACTGTGCATATGTAAAATGAGAACAACTCTTCTTTCTATTTCCATGAATAGAAGATCCTGAGAACTGATAACATTTACAGAAAGTACCAATCGCCAGTGGCAAAGAACTAGTATTCTCAGATTTTCATTTTAACCGTTGTCCTTAATATCCTGAGGTTCATGTTTACAAGAACTGGTTGTCTTTTGTCTTCCACAGAGAGCAGAATTTATTTGCACTTTTTTTTTTTTTTTAATTAAATTTAAAGCTTCTTCAGGGCAAAGATTTAAAAAGAAATAGGAGCCCAAACACATTCTAGCATGCAGCACTGTAAGTTGATTCCCCTCCTCTGAGCTGGTCTGGAACACCATTTTGTAGCTTTGAAATACCGTGCTGAAGATTATTTCAGCAGAGATTTTTTACTTAGTGTCTGTCTCTCTTGCACACAGAGCTGGAAGTTGCGAGACTAAGCACAGATGGGAATCTGGAAGATCTGAAGTTTCCCCAGAACATGGGCCATGGGAGCGCCATTCAGCTGTCAGCAAATACCTTGAAGCAGAATGGTCGAAATGGTAGGTCTGGCACCTCAGGCCACGGCATCCTCATGAGGCAGTCATGCCTTAGGCACTGTTTTGTGTTTAACCATTAGAAGTAAAGTAGGAATTGCTATGTTAATATTTAAATTAACGGGTAGCGTCATTTGCTCATGCCCTTGACGGCAAGCTACGTTGGCTGACTGGGAATGTATTATATTGCTAAGTGATTCACAGCCTTCAAAAGTATTTTGTGATGGTAAAAATGCATCAGATCCTTAAATGATGGGGCTTCTGGGGCCCAGTGCTGAATCCGGAGAAATGCTTTTAACTTTTGATGTCTGCACTAGGAGGCTTCAGATGGGATAAGAGGCTCATTTGAGTAAACTGCTTCACAGCAGGGCACCGTGCAAACATCTGAAAAAGTCAAGGGAGGAAACAATAGTAGCAAATATTAATAATGAGCCAACATGGCAGAAAAGGCTGATTAACTGTTAGGAGTCTAAATCTTTAGTGCCTTTCTGTACCTTACGAACCTCCTGATACAGCATAAATTTTAGATGATGTTGTATGTGATTTGTCTTCATCCTGCTAAGCCATTTTTTTCCAGATCAGGAGTTTGAGCGGACACATTTGTTGATCTCTACAGCCTCACTGTAGACCAACTTTAAACTCAGGCTTCTACTGGTGGGCCCAACATGCTCCTATTTCTGAGCTCCTTTAAAATTTGATCTGTGTGCAGGGGACCACATATGTGGGCTTTGGTCACTGCAGACAAAACACAGGAACAATGGCTTGGGTTGGAAGAGACTTTTAAGATCATCTGGTTCCAACCCGCTTGCCATGAGAAGGGACACGTTCCACTAGATTAAGTTGCTCAAGCCCTATCCAGCCTGGCCCTCCTTGAACACTTCCAGGGATGGGGTATCCCCAGCTTCTCTGGGCAGCCCATGCCAGTGCTCCACCCTCCTCTGTGTAAAGAATACAGAACATGGAGTGATAGGGCAGCATTACAGCCAGACCAGATGTGTTAAAATTTCCAAGAATTTTAGACTTTTGGTCTGGTGGTTCAGAAAGAAAGTCTTGCTATTGGGCTTGGTTGCACATAGGATTTGAGGAAAAGTATTTCTTTTAGAGACAGTTTAAAACTCAAGATGTGTAGCAGAACCCCAACAGGGTAAGACTTTTACTCTGTCTGTTGGCAGCAATGAAAGGGAAGTTTCATTTTTCTAAACACAGTATCACTGGAGTTCTGTTCAAAGCAGAGCCCCATCAATTTGCACCAGCTTGACACATGCCCAGAGGTCACCAAAGAGCTACAAATAAAATTATCATAAAAGGATTTAGGTTGGGAGGAGCCTTTGGAGTCATCAGTGCCTCACCTTTCTCAGATGCTGTGGTGATTCATATAGAAACAAAAACGTATCTCTCCACAACTAATACATATAAAGGCAAACTAATCACATTCCATTCTTACTTATAGGCTGTGAAATAATGTGCAAAACAGAAGGCAAGCTGGATGGTTTCAGTTAAAAACAGTTGGCTGGTAGACTTGGTTTTCTGCAGGCTCTCTGATGGTGTTTTTCTGATTATCTGATTGGCAAATTAAGAGAATAAATATATTTTTAAATTAAATTTATGAAATTTTGCTTTACCTGCCATGTGAGACTGGAATTGTGTTGGAAAGGTTTTGATTTCTTCTCCCAGATTTGTCCCTACACTTTTCTGAGATAGTCTTAATTTATTACCAGACTAAATTATAGTTTTATATTGCATCTGTGCAACATGTCAGCTTGAAACATGTTTCCCAGGTATATCCAGGAGAATAAAGTGATGTCAGGTGGGAAATGGACCACCTGGCCTCTTTTTTTCTGAAGCCAGTTACAGCTACTGATGCCAAAAATAAGCCCACCTTCCCAGTCTGTCTTCTGCTCAGCTGTTTGCTTATAAAAGTTTCTTTTGGAAGAAGCAGCCCTCCCCTTCTTATCCAAGGACTGCTTGTTGCACCTTTTGGTGCTGCTCACTGTAATTGGCAAGAGGTGGGTTTTCATATGCCACATCCTGGTCCTTTCACATTTTCTCAGAGCAGTTTTGAAGTTGGTTAAGAGAAAAGATTTGAAACCTAAAAAGCGAAAAGCCACCCCAGTGATTCAACCCAGCTGTCTAACCTCTTACCTCTCCTCTAGGTGAGATCAGGGTGGCTTTTGTGCTGTACAACAATCTGGGCACCTATCTCTCCACGGAGAATGCCAGCATGAAGCTGGGAACAGAAGCGATGTCGACCAATCACTCTGTCATTGTCAACTCCCCTGTCATCACGGCAGCAATAAATAAAGAGTTCAGCAATAAGGTTTACCTGGCTGATCCTGTGGTGTTTACTGTCAAGCACATCAAGGTGTGTGAGCTGAAAAAGCACTTCTCTTTTTTTTTCAGTTTCTGAAATGAAATGATGTAAAAGTTGGCTGCTTCGAGGCCCCCAGCAGTCCTTGATTAGATTTTGAATTATACTTTTGTTCCTTTGCACTTTGTGTTATTTATGGAGAAGGTCTCTTTTACACTGCATTAATAGAAGTAAAGAAAGTGTCTCCTTTGAGCTGATGCCTATTGCTCGGCTGCTGACACGCATCATTCTGTAATTAACAACTACCAATAAATTGGAATAGACCATAATATTACTTTATCATGGTGGCAGGGGATGTTAGAGGAAAGTGGAATTACAGTGAAAGAGGACAGCTAGTCTTCCTGTTAGCCAAGCTCAGTAGTTGCAAAAGTTGATTGCTTAAAGCAATTAATTTCTCTGCTCTGCAATGCAAATGAAGCAGTCTGGTTTTGAAGAGCTGGATTTAGTCAATGTCTGAAATTAATCAAGAACAAAGAACTAAGTTTGCATTAGCAAAGAGTGCAGCAACAATCTAACTTCCTCTGGTATTGGCAAGTAATACTTGACGTATAAACCACTGCTGATTATTTATCTAAAATTAAAGGGTGAGAGTTGCAAAGAGCCTCAGTGATGCATTTCGAAATCTCTGAGAGCCTATCATTGTTACTGCATTTATTAATTTCTTCCCTGCAGCAGTCAGAAGAAAATTTTAACCCAAACTGTTCATTCTGGAGCTACACGAAGCGTACGATGACAGGCTATTGGTCCACCCAGGGCTGCCGCCTCCTGACAACCAACAAGACACACACCACCTGCTCCTGCAACCACCTCACCAACTTTGCAGTCCTGATGGCACATGTGGAAGTTAAGGTAGGCATTGCAGATCCCCAGGCTGCCAATGCACAGGGCAGGAACTGTGGTCAATGTGTGGCACCATTTTGTTACCACTAATGGAGCTGGGCAGGGAAGTTGCTGTGTGACACTAACTCTGAAAGTAGAAACCATCTGGTATAAGTCTTCTTTCTGCTCTGTGGTGAAACAGAAAATAGTCACAACCAATGCAAAGCCTGTCTTAGGCTCCTAGCATGGGCAGTTCTGAGGTGGGGATGGTGAGTGAGCAGGATTAGCTGTTGCCATATCCTTTGCTAACTGGTGCAGAGCATCTCCTGGCTGGGTTCTTTCTCACAGGGTCCTCCCTGTGCCACCAGGGAGCTGTGAGGTGGAAGGACAGAAGTGTGCAGTCTGCCTTGTGGGGTGCAGGTTGGGTGTCCTGCTAGCAGCAGCTGCAGATACACTGCCAACAGGTGTTTGTGTGAGGTGCACGTGTGGAGCCAGCTGTTCTTCTCATTCCAGCTACGGAGAAAAATACTTTGTGTGCGTCTCACTGTGTGACAGAGAGATGCAGAGTATGACACATGAGAGGGAAGCTTCTGAGACCATCCTGTGTAGACTGGCATCTACTTGAGGCCAGTACACAACCAGCTGGTTCCCTTGCCTGCAGTTATGTCCGTGATGTAAATCTGGCTTTCCACGTGACTAACCCCACTGGAGCTGAAGAAGTTAATCCTGAAGGTAGATGTTCCTCAAGGTAGCAGTGGTTTTGGGAGTGAAGCACACATTTGGGATTTTACTCAAGAGCAGGTTGAGATGGTCCTCCATTTCCTGAGCTGCTTCTGTTGTCTTTGGTTGAGAACAGTCTAAACTGCCAGAGAAAGAAGAGAAGGCCCTGATGCCCAAAAGATTTTGGCCTAGTCATTTTCTTCATTGTGGTGTCTCTGTTTCATGTGCCTGGCACAGCAGGCAAAAATCCACAGTTCTGAGCTAGGTATGGAACTGGCATCTTCCATGCAGGCAGAACTTTTCAGAATCACTTCCATGACAAGCGTAACCACAAAAGCAATTACGGTTTTAAAACTACTTTTTCTCACATAGTCTTCCAGTGTCACTCCTTTGTGTATTTTTGTTTCACTTAATAATCTGAAGAGGAATGTAAAGAGCTGCAATAAAATATATATTAAATAAGTAGCATGCATGACATGACAAAAGCTCTGCAAAAAAATAAATTGGAGCCTAGGAGCACATTTCCCACAACAGCTGGGTCCACCTGAGAGGGGCAGGATATATCTGTTGCTCCTGCAAGTTGCAGTAATCACTTTATTCTGCAGGAGTCTGTCCTAGTTCAGGAAACATGCCATTAAATGTTTGTGGCATTGTCCTGGGAGATGCCTGAAGAAAAGGCCTATTCAAAGCACGTATTTACAGGTTAATGGCATTCTGCAGTCCAGGTCTGGTTTTGCCAGTTGCCTACAACTGCTTGAATTTTCATAAGAAATGTGTGTTTGGCTCATTATCACCCACCTGGAATTAACAGATATGCCTGAGTCATTGAAGTCAGAGGTGGCAGCTGGGAAATGCAGATAGTGATCCACTCCACTGGTGTGAATGGGGGTGATCCCCACTGCCTGATGCAGATACAGCTCAACAGGCCTCTTCTCAAACTGCAAACAGGTCAGCCTTGCCTGCACTCTCCATCCAAACCTCGTGAGACAAGTAGACCTGCTGTTATCTCAGCTTGCAGGAACAATATGTGGGCCCCTTCCCCGCCCATGTTCATCCAGCAGGTTGGAAAGAGCTGCAGCTGGGAGCTTCCCAAGTGCAAAGCCAGTGTGCTATTAGCTAGTGGCTGTTTCTGGGTGTTAACAAGTGCCCTCAAGACTTTCAGGTCATGTTTTATCATTTGGCTGCAGCCAAAGTACCATGGCTGTAAGAGCCAAATTGGCTCCACTTTGTTGACTCTGATACAACTGGACAGTTTCCTGGCATGTCCACTTCAGTGATCATCCTGGCCTGAGGGCAAAGGCAGGGCAGGGTTCCCTCCCACATAACAGACACATATTTCAGATATAAATATGCAAATGTTTGCAACTTGTCCTGCCAGCTGCTTGTCACCTTGCTCTTCCTGGTGGTACTCTCTCACTCCATGGTGGAGCTGACCATGTGGCTCTTGGCATAGAAGGAATATGACATTCCTTATGCTATTGTAATGAGTTCATTTTAAAGACTTGGCAGCACAGTACCTGCTGCTTTGGAAAAGGGGAGGTTTAGAAACAAATGGGGGTTTTTGTCGTTCATTGACTCACGCTCACTGCTTATGGATATGCTTTTGAATAATTTTCTTATTTTGTGGCTGGTTCAGAAAGGCATTCCTCTGTCATTCCATGACCTGTTAGTGTTCTCGGAGGTGGAATGATCCTTGGGGAGATGATGTTGTGTGCTTCTGCAAGACTTCTTAGACCAGTGTTCTGGCAATGATCAGGATGTCTAGAAAGTAATGTTGCACACACAATAATTAACAATATTCTGGGAGCTCTGCAATAGAAACAGTTTTCTTCTGTGATTGAGATTTGTAGTTTCCTGACGTCAGTTGTTTGAATTTTTGGATCCATGGGGAACAACCTTTGGTGTAAGGCGAATCCACAGCACCCTGCATAATAAGACTGAAAACTGGGCAACATGGGGAGCAGACATTATAGTCCTGCTCCTTAATCAAAAACCAGCAGCAATTTGACAAGTGTCACATCTGCTCATGAATGATCTTCCTGCCTGGTAACATGGCACAAGAGCATGTTCTCCAGAGGGGATCTCGGTGGCTGCTCTGTGAGTTCCAGGCTGCAGTTTAATTATTAGCAGAGTGTGCGTGGCAAGGTGGAGCTGGAAGGTAGTGCCACTGAGGAGAGGTGATTGATGGCCATCTGGCTCTCCAGCATGAAAAAGCAATATATCTTTGTCCAAAGGGACAGAAAATGCCACCAGCTGACCATGGCAGCAGGGATTTATCGGTGTGCTTGAAGAGTAGAAGTTGCTGGGATCAGTTCTGGTCTCACTAGGACAGTACCTGATTGAGAGGAGAATTTAATTTGAAGATGCTTTCTTCCCTTTAAAATAAGCTGGGTTCAGACTTTCTTACTCACCCACTGGGGTTAAATACCACTGTCCAAGACCAAGAGTTGGCTGTGCAGGATGCATAACTTCTGGGAAGAGCAGTGGACCCTCACCTGCAGGTTTCCCTCCAGCCACTGTCTATAAAAATGTGGTGACTCCCGTGCTGTGGAACAAAGCCCATTGTTAAATAAACCATCCTACCTATGTAATTGCTGTAGAAATATTCAACATTTACAAGTTGTTTTTCATAAGCTTGTGCTTTGCATTATACTAATTATAGCAGATGCATCTTAAATGTATCATGGGAAAATTATGCAGCCAGAAAACAAGTTCAGAGCTGGTGGGAAAATGCAATTAAAAAACCCACCCAAACCAGAATTAGCAAAGGTACCCCCAGGGTAGAAAAATGTTGCTTATCAGTATGTAGTGAGTGCCAGATCTTACTCTTCTTTTTTTTAAATACTAATAGAAAGGAGGTAAAAAATAAAGGTGTTTTGACTGTTGCAATTAATAGGAAAGTTTCAGGTGTTTTTCTTTACCACAAACATTGGTGCTAACTGTGCTAATTATTTGGGGAGTGGAAGCATAAGGCAAGCTAAGGAGAGAAATGAATAACAATATATGAAGTCTAAGTGGAATGTAGCAGTCCATTGCCTAAAGCAGTAGAGCAGCAAACTGGAGTTCCTGCAGGCTGATCCTGTGTTCTAAACTTCATATGCAAGTCATATAGCTCACACTGGCAAAAAAGTTTTCTCAGAAACTCACATTTCTGCCAGCTTGGCTGGGTGGATAGCTACACTGAGTTTCACACAGCTGCCGTAGCTCATTTCTTGGGTTGGAGATGCCACGTGAGTAATCAGAGCTTCCAAAATCTAGCCAGCATGAGAGAGCAGGATGATGGATGCAATTATTATTCCTAAGACTCACCTCCTCTCCACGAATCTCACCTCTCAGTTGCAGAGGGTTTGGTGAGTAGAGTGGAAACAGTGGGCTCTTGGCACGTGCTGTATGTGCAGTAGTGTCTGTGACACATGGTGAGGTCTGTGCCCATTTCTCTGTGCACACCTGCCCCCATACAGCTTTATTCTGGCCACAGGGGTTTCCAGGACTTAGAATGCTGCTTCTGGCAGTTGCTAGAGGGCTGTTGCATTTTGGTGAGAAGTTTATGGGAGAGTTCTGCTCGGAGGCCTTCATCTTGCTGAGCAAGGGAGAAGTAGAGGAAGATGGTCTGTGTTGCCCATGCAGAATATGAAGGCAGCTTGGTGGACTAAGGCAAGGAGAGAAAAGGTGACTAAACCACCTTTAGTTAGCAGGAATGCTCAGGGTTCTCAGCCTTATTTTGAATGGCCAAAGGTAGAAGACAGTAATGTTGTACATGGGCCTCAGGTGGGAATTTTGCTCTCTTTATGGGTTAGGACCTGATGGTGCCAATGATGGCAGTGATTTTCAGAGCCCAGAGCAGATGCGTACCAGGTCCATGGGTGTTCACTGTAGAGCACAGCTGCCTGCCTCTCTTGGTGCATCCTTAGGAAAGATGGAGAGGATGGATGCTAAAGCAAAGGGATCCCCCAGTTCATATTCAGTTCATATTCCTCTTGGCCACAGGAAGGGAAAAGCTCCCTTAAAGACTTTCATGCCTTCGTATCCACAGCCGGTGATGCCTTCAGCCAGCTCAGATGCACTTCAGGAATCCTTGGGGTTTCCTCCCAGTCCGTGTAACCCAGCTGGTGCTTTTGACACATCTACAAAACCATCTGCCTCTTCAGTAGCCCTTTGCACACAGCCACAAAGTATTACAGCCAGGTCATAGCAGTAAATCCTCTCTTACCACCAGAGACAAGGGAAAAAGGGTAGAGAGACCCCACATGGCCCCAAAGAGCTACAAATCCAAGAAGCAGCATCAGCAATGCACAGAAGTTCAAACCTGTCCCACTTGGGTCTCTGCCCAGCCCAGCACTCTGCCAGCTCCCACCAGGCACCGAGCGATCATATTTGAGCTGGTTGATGACACTGTGTTTTTATTTACTGCTTGCTTATTCTTCCACCCCCAAAGATATTACTTCTTCCATTCCTGGAGGGACAGATTAGGCAAAAGAATGTGTCCTTTGCTTCTGGCAGCTTGGTTTGGCTGCTGTTTTCTTCTGCTGATGTTTTTAATAAGGGAGGAAATGGCTGTTCATCTCAGGGAGAGCCATTCTATCGTAAGCTGACATTCCCTGGGATTTGTTTTTATTAGCTCAGCTCTGGTGTACAGGCACTGCCAGAGCTGCTCATTGATTTTCCCAGCCTGGATAATATCGGGGCTGCCTGTGCATCCTGCTGTGGTTGCTACCAATGCTCCTGTAGCTCCTCCTGTGCAAATCCCTGTCAGCACTCTCCTCTTACTGCTCTTGGTTCCACTGGAACAAAACCAGGTCTTTATTCCAAAGCCAGAGACATCTCCTTTCACTGGGCTTTGAGTTGGGTTCATACCTAAATCATAAATGTAAAACATACTTTCTATAGAAACCCTGTCCCTGAAGTGTATTATTTTTTGGTTGGCTTTTTTTTTAATTACTCAGTAAGTTGTTCCTGTACTAAAAATAATTTGTGTGTCAGCTTATTCTGCAAAGTGAGTGTAGCTTAGTGGTAACAAAACTCTGTGTCCTGCATGCTGTGCCATGTAGCACCCGTCTGGAGAGCCATGGTGCGTTTGGGCAAGGAGTTGTTTGCTTGATGCTGTTGGGAAATTGTCTCTTGGACTGACATCTGGTATTTCTCATGGGCTCTTCTGGTTGCCCAAGTATTTGGGAAGATCACTGAGAAGCAAGAGATGACTCTTGATACACTGGTGGTCTCAGATATATGTTGCATGTTTTAAAGACCCAAGGGCTTTCATTGTGCTGGAAAGATATCCCTAGGGATCTTCTGGGAACAGCAGATCCCAGAGGGTCGTGATCAGTGGCACAGAGTCCAGCTGGACCAGAGCAGGGTGGTTGGACCAGTTAACCCCACTGGTGGTCCCTTCCAGCCTTCACCATGCTGTGAGTCAGTGGTTAGCGTGTACATCCAAGCTGTTTTATCTTCAGTCGAGGAGTTTTGGACAGTGCCAGACAGGGTAAAGAGAAGATTTGCTCTTCTTGCATTTTTCTGTGGCTAAGAAACCAGCTTGAAGGCTGAGACCTACATGCAAAATCTTGGTGTGCCCTTTATTGTATATAACCCTGGGACTGCGTATAGCAGCTGTGTAAACCAGGTTATGCTGCTCCTTGTTTGTCACACAGCGATCAGGTGATGGCAAGGAAAAGCTCATGGCATTGGGAGAGGTTACCACTATTGTTCATTTTCCCATATTATTCTGATTGCTGTAAAGTGCAGTAATTTACAAGTTTCAGTCTCCAGCAAAAGGCAAGTTACCTTTTGTTGTACTTGCTGGTGTACAAGCTCTGGATGTGCCTGCCCTGAGGGAGCAGTTGGCACTGCCATGGGAAGGATGCCAGTGCTTAGCAAGTCTTCCCTGATTCACTAGCTCTGCAGTGGCACCAGAAATTGGGCATCCCAAACAGGCTGGAGTGTACCCAGCCTTTAAAATTCAGCTCACTTCTTCTCTCGGACTTTACTAGAAAAGCTACAAATTCATATTTTTTTTCCCCCTGAGGTTTTTTTAAATTGCTCTTGTTCCCAGTTTATTGTTATTATTCCTTTCTGTTTGTTCTTCTGTGAGTTTGTTGAGGTTGGGGAAGGAGTTTGTAATTATGGAGAAGTTGTTTTTATGGTTGTTTCCCAGCGCTCCGGGGATGAGTGTTATGTACATAAAATCAGTATTATCTTTACGATTAATATTAAAAAGAAAAGCAGTAAGAGTGATAATAATAATAATACAGCAATGAAGCATGTTTTTTGCTAAGCATGGTGAGTTTCTTGGGTAAGCAGCCCTTCCCTGAAGAAGACAAAGAACCTAGATGGTAGGATCCCTCTCCGAGAGCAAAAACACCTGTAATTCCTGCATCATATCCTAAATTCAGCAGAACTGTGGTATTGTGATAAGAGGTGCAAGAGCTGTGAGCTGTGAGAGTTATCTCACCTAGGGGAAGAAGCCCTTGGAGAATTTTCCCTGCACTATGCTAAATTTGTGTTGGTATGGATGAATATGGCCACACCTGGGTGGTGGGGTGCATGGGCCACAGTCTGCCTGGTTTCTTTTGCCCTACATCCACCTGCATCAGCTGCCTAGTCCTGTTGCCCAGCCCAAGAGCTCTTGGTCCATTCATACTGGCAAGCCAATCTAACCAGTTTGTTCAGGGGGATGTTCTCCTGCCATTCCCCTGCAGCCTCAGACAAAAGAAAGAATGATTTGCAAGGTGCAAGGTTTGCATTAACATTTTTCCGCAGAGTTAAGAGGGATGGATGAGCTGGAATGACACTGAGATAAAGCAATGCGCAGCTGCCAGGGAAATGATGTGCTTCATCTTGTCAGGTTTCTGGGCGCTGCTGGATGAGCTGGCTGGAATAGGCATTTCTGTCATGAGCCACAGAAAGCACACAATGATTTCTTGTCTCCGTGTTGGACTTGTGACCTCTAGTTCCTTAGGTACTGGAAATAGTTGGGAAGAGATGCAAGGGGGTTTGGGCAAAGAAGCCCTCCATCTCTCCACCTCTAAGCCTTCTTGGAGAAAAAACTTCCAGCATGGAAGTGATGGAGCAGAGAATCACTCCCCATTTTTCATTACAATGTGATGCCTGTCACTCATGCTGGTAAAGCCAAAGACCTGAAAGGCTTGAGATGTTTTTTGTGGGTGCCGACGTAGCAGAGTGTATCGGGAAAGGCCTGACATTTGATGTGGCTTTATCATTGGCAAGCAGGCAAAGAAAATGGATAAATTAATCACCTTTTCCATCTGTCATAAGCTTTTATCCCATGAAGAGAAAAATGTTTCCACTTTGCCCTGGCTTTTTGAAGTGTGACACTATTGTATTTGCCAGCCTACATAATGCCCAAGTCATCGAAATGCCAGAAATGGTGAAGAATGTGATTATCATTTATAACACAACCTGGTGCACCGCAGAGCTGGGCTTCAAGCTGCTCTGGTCTTGGTGAAATGCCCCCAGAGATTTCCAGCCAGTCTTTTTCCCAGCTCATTGACTCTAACCACTTACACCCAAGCAGTCATCTCGTGACTCGCCGTGTGTTTCTCATGTGTTAGTTACATTTTGCTAGGTAACGATATCTATAGTGTCACTGCATCTGGTGGAAGCTTGGGGAGTTATGGGTGAGTTTTACAGCCTGAATAAGGAAGAAGGTGGTGGGATGCTCTCACCAGGAGGGTCTCATCATGTGCCTCCTCTTTCCAGGAGGGACATGCAGTGTAAACTCAGGAGCAATACAGCAGTGTTTTGGCAGCAGTTCCAAGTCTCACCTATCCTGCCTCACAAAACTTTGTTACCTAGCTTTTTCTTTGTTACTGGCTTTTTCTGTATGGCTTTGAAGTACATCCATGTTAAAAGTTCATCACAGGGAATCAGTCACTTTCCAGGCTGTCTTAAAATCACTGTTTTGTTACAGTTTAAAAGCAAATTTGTGTTAAAAGATTTGTCTTTTTTTTTTCTGGGTAATGTTCTCGGGATCAATCTGACTTCCCTGGAGTTCTAAAATATAACTCCAGGGTTTGAAAAAGAAAAATCAAACTTCCTTTCTCCTTTCCCTGTGGAAAAAAAAAAAAAAAAGTAAGCAATCTCTTTCTTTCCAAATCCTCCATGCTCATACATCTCTGAACATTTAAAGAGAGTCTTTTTTCACTGCTGGCAAATGGTTGTAATGGACTTGCAATTGTTGGACATGATGTTGTTAGCACGAAATGCTTTTTCACACTCGAATCACTCTGTTCAATGGTTCTTTATACCGTGTGTCCAGGCACTCCTTTGCCACGCGTGTGCAAGATTGAGCCGCACGCAAGACTAGCCCTGATATCTCAGTATTTTCATCAACAGCATTATGTTTCTGCAGGGTTTTGGGCTATGAGTCTGTTCAGGGCACCTGCACCTTGCAAGATGCCCTGGAGTCTGTGTTTCAGGTTGCAGCTTTCTTGCTGCAGGGTTCAAGTTTAGGTCCATTTAATGTTTTTGGTACTGGTGCCTTGTGCCACAGGCACCCTTACTCTGTGTCTGGGATGCATTAGAAGTCACGCATCATGCAGCTGATGAGATTTTTTTTTTGTTTTACCTTCAGCACACTGATGCAGTCCACGACCTGCTCCTGGACTTCATCACGTGGGTTGGCATCCTGCTTTCACTGGTCTGCCTCCTGATCTGCATCTTCACCTTCTGCTTCTTCCGTGGGCTGCAGAGTGACCGCAACACGATTCACAAGAACTTGTGCATCAGCCTCTTCGTGGCAGAGCTCCTCTTCCTCATTGGCATCAACCGGACTGACCAGCCGGTAAGAGGCAAAGCACTTTCTGCTTCTGTCATAGGCTCTTGTCAATAATGTGTGTGTTTAATAACCAAGTTGTAAAAATGAGCTTATACCATGTACATCTTCATGTGTTTATTTGCCTGATTGTGTATGTGCCTACCTTTTTATCTTTTAATATCATTTATATATGCAAATATGTGTCTGTTTTAAAACAATTCACACGTTTTCTAAGTGAAAAAAAAAAGTTCTTCCTTTGGAGAGGGAAGATAAGAACACCCTCATTTTTATTAAGCCTCCAAGTAAGAGTACTCCTGACTGGTGCATTAATTAATCATGGTACAAACAGCTTCCCTTGCTCTTTTCAATCCTCACACAGATTGCCTGTGCCGTCTTTGCTGCCCTCCTGCACTTCTTCTTCCTGGCAGCTTTCACCTGGATGTTCCTGGAGGGGGTGCAGCTCTACATCATGCTGGTGGAGGTTTTTGAGAGTGAGCACTCCCGGAGGAAGTATTTCTATCTGGTGGGGTACGGCATGCCTGCGCTGATTGTGGCCGTGTCGGCAGCGGTGGACTACCGGAGCTACGGCACGGACAAAGTGTGAGTGACCTTGGAATGGCTTGGACCTGCTCAGAAGAGATGGGAGCGGGGGCAGCAAATGGATTTGAGGAGCCCAGAGGGTTTGTTCAGGCAGAGCTCAGCCAGGAGGCATGCCTTGCCTTATCTCTGCATTTCTTGCAGGACAAATTCCTCACTGTGAAATGATTTGCAAAGGTATTTTCTAGGGAAGCCAGTCAAAGAAAATTTTGTCACATCATTGCATAAGATCAGCAGAGGTTACTGTCCCGAGTCTCAGTTTGGTACTATAGCAGCAATATCCTCCTTGAACCAAAGAGTTATTTCTTATTTGGATGAAGATATTGCTTTCTTCCTCTCTTCTAAAGTGTTCTATCAAACTAACAGAGCCTGCAGGCAAAATGGGTGGTGACTGTGGAGTACATTAGGCTCTTTGCAAATCAGAACAGCTATATCATTTATCATTATGAATATTCTTAAGTGTTTCCAACATTGCTGAAGCTGGTATGAAAGCACAAGTTAGATTATCATGCAACACCGTCTAATGGAAAACAAGGGGAAAATTGAGCCTTTGATTCTCTTTGCCATCTTTGCTACAATAGGATTAACAATGTTTTCATTGACCTTTTTTTTTCCTTCCCTTGTCAGTCTGCCTTTCCAGTCTCACTTTAACTGAGTTAAGGGCTCAATATGAAGGCATATGTAGCAATGAGCCAGTGGTGGTTCTGAAGCTCTTTTTTAGCATAGATCGGGTGAGACCACGGCAGCATTTGATCTTATGTTAGGTTCAACTGCAGATTTTTTGCCTGAAACCTTACTGGGATATATGAACCTCTATTTCTTGAAAAAACAGATCTGTGGAGCAGTGGAGCTGCTCATGATCCATTACCATGCCAGCAGGCGGGCTTGGATCCCAGATGGATATTTGTGTTGTGTTCCTCCCATGAGTAGGAGAGCCGCGACCTGAATTTGTATAAATGTCACGCGTTGTGGAAAGGAAAGGAAATGGCCCACACAGATAAGGGTAGGAGGGTGTAAGTTTTTAAGGATCTCTACCAATTTATCCAAAGTAGTTTGACTGACTTTTACAGGCCTAGAGGGCAAAGAATAAGTAACACAACAGCTGATTGCCATTTTTGAAGATTTCCCATCAGTTGCCACCTGCTTTCTGCCCCAACAGGCTCTTGTATTTACTCCCCCTCTTGAGCATTATATAAGCACCTATTGAATCAGGTATGGAAACAGCTCGTCTTCTCCCTTTAGACAAATTATTCTTAACTGTGGTGTTTCTATGGAGGACATATCTCTTCACAGTGGCCTACATCAGGCACTCAAAGATACTCCAGCTGTCTGGAAAGTCAGTCCTGCACATCTGCTTCATGCTGGAGCCATGTCCTAACCTGTCCAGTTTTCAGTGCGGTATTTTGGGGCCACTTTCCACACTGTTCATCCTTTGGCTTTTGCAAATAGACCTTGGGCACCCAAATGTTTCCCCAGCATGGAAGGTACAGGCAGAAAGTTTGGCTGAAATTCACTGAAGGCGAACACTTCGCTATCTTGGCATTGAAGAGGCAGCAGTCCTGTGTGTGTGCCAATAAAATATGTCTCCCTCCCCACAGCACGAAGTGATATTTTTAATGATTAAACATGTATATATAATATTTTGCAGATAAATATTTACAGAGATTTGCAAATCTAAAATATTTATTTATAATTTTTAATTCCAGAATGCACAATTTTATCACGTTCTCATAGAGGAAAATAAAAACCATACAATATGTTTTGTATAACTATCATGCTCCATCTGGTTGATGGATGATGATGTATTTTTCAGTATAATGTTATTAGAAGGGTAGAACTGATTAGAATTTGTAGTGAACTATATGCCAGGCATACATAATTTGATTGCAAGAAATTGCTTGGTTTTGCCAGGTTTTGTAAAACATCCTCTGGAATATATTACTTGCCTCCCTCCATTATTTACTGCATTTGTTTAAGCAGGACTTATGGAGCTGTTAGTGTTATTTGTTTTTTGCCTGGCAGTTGGTGCCACCATTCATACGTCTCAGAATGATTTGCTTAAACACGCAGTGTAAGGTTTCTTGATTTCATTTTACTTTCTAAATCCAACCCTCCTGTAACACATGCCTCGGTTACATAGCCAGGAACATGCAGTTGTTCCTCCCTCTGTTGCTTTACTCATCATTTAGTGCTTGTGATTTTCTGAAGTGTCCCATGCCCTAGTATTCATACTGGCATTTTGGAGTAGCTGCTCCATAAAGATACTCTTATACACTTAATTATTTCAAGGATGGGGATTGATCCTTTTCCTACTTTGTTTTTTGTTTGCTTTAGAATAGTTCGAACCCCTTATATTAGGAGACTAATTTGGTTTTATAACTAAGTAGCAGCATAGTGGTTCCCTTAAAAGATCATCCCATTCAGGCTAGCTCAACTGTGTTTGGTCTTTTCCCTCAGATAAATCAGAAAAGTTGCATCTCACCTTATTCTGACTGTAACCTCTAAAGTAAAGATGAAAAGCAGGAAGCCCCACTGCAGACAGTGTGGTTCCCTCACATTCCCAAAGAGAATCTGGCAATGCTCTCATGAACTTGTAGGTGACCATTTCTTGCAGGCCATATCTTCGGCTGCTGCATCTTAAATGGCCACAGCTGAAGTTTTGTTGCAAAAAAAGAAGATACTGGGATTGTAGTGAAAAAAATAAATTAAAAAGAATGATCATTTGCCTTATCCTGTGTGTTAGTCCAATCCATCCATCTCTTCGATGTACATGATGTCAAGGGTCATGGTGGGCAATGCTGCAAAATGAAAATAGTATAGAAAACAGTATTTGCGTTTGTAGTTAGTGTTTGAAAATAAGTTGCACCTAAAATTCAGCAAAAGCTCAATTATGGCTTTAGCCTTTAAGAGGATTCATGCTAGGAGAGGGCCATCCCAGATCAGCAGCAGGAAGCTATTCCATATTTCCATACTTTCCTGGGTTTCATATCAAAGCCTCTTACAAATTGCAGAGGAAAGCAGCTACGCTTTGAGTGGTTCAATATATTTTAGAAAGCGCACTTGTAGGTATATTCATCCACTGGTGATCAAATCCATCATGGCAGGGATCTCTCTTTTGTTTCTCCCCCCCTTCTTCCCCCCCTTTTGGAATGCTATAAAGCAGGATATACACGGTAAGCAATCCAGCTGTCAGAAAGCAAAATGAAAGCCCTGTGTATGTACACAGCCTCCGAGTCCATCAGCCAGGCGCCGACATTTCATGCATGTAAATGCTGCTCAGAAAATAGCTTCTAACAATGTGGTCTGTCTTGGGTGGCTCCACCGAACTTGTTTTATTTGCAGTGCTGCTGCCAGTATTTGGAGGAGGAAGCGTGAGCTATGTGGATGCTGAACTCCATTAAGCAGAACCTATATTGCACCCTTGAAAGGCATGTCTGGTGCATACATATGCCATTACTGCACCCTGACAAGGAGGCTGTACAGCCACACGAAACAAACCGCTGAGCTCCCATGAACAACATGATATGTTTAGGGCTCTTCAAATTTTATGGTCCAATGGCAGCTAATGATTGTTTATTGGTTATATTTAATGCACACCAGGGATAGTTTAGTATTTGATTTCTCTTCATGCAGAAAATAGAGTAAACTCTTTGTAGTCTTTATTACTTGGGCAAAGCTTTAGGTGAATATTGCGAGTTGCCACTGTGGAAAAGGAGGAAATTAAAAAGTAAAGGAGAGCGGCGCCACGGAGCTTGTCATGAGAACTGAATGCATTGGGGTGACTCCTAGAAGAAGCAATGGGGTTTTGAGCAGTGTTCTCTACATGCACACATTTCCTGATAATCCTTTGCCTAGCGCTGAGCCCTGAAGGAGCTCGTTTGCTTAATGGCAGCGCAGCCTTAACTCCTAACGTGGCAACTCCGTGCTCACAGCGCAGCTGCGCGTGGAGGGTCACAAGTAACTCAGCAGCCCAAGATTAGCAACTCTGGGAAGTGAGTTGCCTGATTGCTTCCTTGTTTTGAGGAGCTCATTTATGCAGCTCATTGTGCGTGTGGGTTTTTGTCTTCTAAGGCAAGAAAAGCTCAGTGTGGTACTTGTCTGATTAGCAATTTACAGCTCCACAACGCAATTGGCGGGATGCCTGTGTTTTGATGTTTTTGTCTTAATTTGCATTTTTAATGAGGTATGACTTAAGCAGGTTCAAAGTTTCATCTCTTCCTGATGACCACCAAAAACCTCAGCTTTTTTTTTTAAGTCCCCCGAGGCTGAGTATCATACACGGTTTCATAGAAAGGCGAATTTTTCAAATTCAAACAAATAAAAAAATGACATTGCGTTCTTTGAAGTGTGCAGAGAGGCCTAAAAAAAAACCTCCTCTGTTTTTCACAAGCTGTACTCCAGCGTAGGTGAAGCCATCTCTCATAGGGCTCCTTTTGCTCCATGCCCGGCCCCCACTTACCCTGATGACAGGACCTGGTTCCTCTGCATTTTCTCATCCACAGCATCCATCTTTTGTCACTCAGTTGTTTTCTACAACTGAAGAGAAGATATTTTAGGGGAGTGGAGTGGAAAATTTTGTTCTTTTTGCTGTCTGGAAAAGGAACCAGTTGCTTTGCTCTTCTTTGCTGAGCCTGGCACAGCTTTTTTGCTCATTTTGTATTTCAGCTTTCCCTGTTTTTCCCCATGTCCCAATCTATCTGCATTCAAAACCAGCTGCACCAGATGTGACTGTAGGGCAGTCACCATTCTTCAAAAAGAAAAGAGAATATTTCCTCTTCCCCAGACTTTCCAAGAGCCAGGTCACTCTTTATGCTGAAGGAAAACCAAGTTGATGGTGACTAAAAGACAGTGTTCCCAACTCCTGGGTAGCAGGGGCTGGGGGTTGTTTAGAATGTTAAACTGTCAAAAAAAAAAAGGTTCAAAATATTTTCATTAAAAAAATAAATCAAACCCCCACAACCCTCTGAGTCCTCTCCCACACACCAGCACTCATTATCAGTAGAAAAAAGTGATGGGGCTGCGTATTCTGTGATTTATATGCAGCAGCTGAGGCATAAGCACTAGTTACTCATTTTTCCTGAGGGGGATGGGGTAGGTATAAAGCCTGAAATGCCACGTAAAAATGTGAGCTGCTGCTGCTGTGCGGACATCCTTGCTTAGGAATGGGGGAGCACTTTTTACAGGGACTTCATTATCCTCAAAACCTCTATTCTTTTGTCAAATCTAGTTGCAATTGGGCGACATTTCCGATGTTTCTATGGGTGATACGCAGATGTCATGATCGCATAAACCTTCTCCTATTGGGAATCAGACCCAAGTAGTTTTGAGTCACTCATGTTGTTCCATTACCAGCTGCATCTAAATCACCTTAAAACACGGAGAAAACAAGATTTACCAGCAATTGCTCTGAAAGCCTCTGTTTGCCCCTTGCATTGAGATTTTGATGCTATCACATGGAAATTCTGGATGAGCAGCTGCAAAGGCAGTTCAGGAATGACAGTCATGGAAGAGACAGTATTTTAATTTGTGACAAATAGCATTATGAGTGTGTGTGTGATATATATCAATACCTCTCCAGCACTGATGAGACCTTAAATTTATATGGTCAGGGAGGGAAGTGAGAAGTTTCCTCTGCGTATTTTAATTTATTCATATTTTGGCTTCTCCCAGTCACAGAGGTTGAGAGCATATTTTATTCTCTCGTCAGGCATCTCCTGCTGATCATCTCTCCATGGGGCTGCTGCTGGCACAGACCTTTCTGCCTGTTGCAAAGCCCATTGGAAGGGAAAAAATATTAGGCACATACACTAGAGCTGCCATTTGTGAGAACTGCTATCTCCACCACCATGATAAATTCATATATGCAGTTCCTGTCACTTGCCTAATCACGAAATTCCATCGGATGTTTAGTATAAGAGTGGTTTTATGCTCTCTCAGTCCTTTGTGTATAAACGGAGCTGTGATTTGCAGCATTGCAAAGACGACAAGATATTATTATTTTAAACATCGTGTGAAACTTTCTTGGAATTTACATTCGTCTGTCTTGTAACGAGTCACTTCCATTTTATCTTCCTGTCGCCTGGAATGAACTAGGAATGGAAATGTAATTTCCCAGGGGCTTTAAAAAATGTGGGGAGTATTAAATGCGGTTGAAATTAAGCGATTAATTATTTAGTTTTAGGCCATGAATCAACTTGTGATAGCGCAGACCATATGCAACCCTGGAAACATTGGTGGAAACAAAACGCGCGGGAGGTTCAGGGAAATAAAACACTTTAAAGGGGAAGTTGCTGAACCTAATTAAACCTCAGCCTTCTGTTATCCAATTCATGCTTCCTGTTTGAACCAAAGTTTCTCTGATGTACTTGCTGGAGAAATGTCATCTTGACAGCTGACAGACAGCTTGCATGGCATCAGAGCTGGAGAGCAAAGAGGAGCAAAAAGCAAAGAAGAAGCTCTGTGGATGTTCATCAGAACATCCTTTCCTTAAAAACACCCATGGTTTAAGGAGTTTTCCCAACAGATGCAGAAAGCCTTAGCAAATAGGCCTTGTGCCATTTTCTCCCTGCTTCCTCTAGAGGTAATTATCTTACTCCATCAATAGCGCTGTCAGAAATTGGGCACATAATTCAGCATTTAAATGAACAAGCAATGTAATATTTCCTGTCTCCCACCGGCGTGTTTTGCAGCTCACATTCTTCTCTGTCAGTCGCTGACTCCTGATGTATGTCCTGGGTGCAGTCCTTGAATGCCTTCTTTCCCTTGTGTTTCATTACAGATGTTGGCTCCGACTTGACACCTACTTCATTTGGAGCTTTATAGGACCGGCGACCTTGATAATTATGGTAAGAACTCCTAATTAACTACTCCGTCTCTCAGGTCAAGAAATAAAACTTTTTGCTGTCCCTTTTCTCTTTATCTTTAATTTACACAGATTAATTTGAGGAAGGCATGTTCTTCTTTGACCCCACCTGGCATAGCAATTAGACCCTCATTATGAGAGGCTCTTGGCATTGCAAAATACTTGATCAAAATGGACCAAGGAGCTTCAGAATGGGCACTTACAGAGTTTGGTTTCTACCACTGGACATTTAGAAGTGCCAAACTGTTTTGATGCCACTCACTGCTCACACCCTTTTTGATTTCCAGAGTTTTGCATTGATAATGAAAAGGGGAAAAAAAAAAAAAAAAAAGGGAAATCTGGGAGGGGGGAATGAAAAAAAGTCCAAACTGGAAAAGGAGTTTGATGAGGGTTTTTCCTAACCAGCAGAAGCTGAAACTTGTGTGACTTCATGTTTAGCACATTGCCAGCATATCGGCTAACACAGCAACAAGGTAGAGAACCCAACTTTAGAGACAGCTGGAGTTTTCTTATACTTTAATCGCTACAATATGGCTTAAATAAACCATCCTTTGTTTTGACTAGACTACAGTTTGGCTAGCACAGAAAACCAGGCACTCTCACTTCAATGCAGACATTGTCTCTGCTTCTTCTGCTTCTCCTGCAACTTGGGAGCCATTTCAGCAGCCTTCCACATCAGGAAGGGGGCCATGCCACCAACTACAACTCTTGGGGGTTTTTTTCCCTTAAGCAATTCATTCATAAAAAGATATCTTCCCTTTTTGATTATGTCTCAAATCCTAGACTGGGCTTTTGGAAACTCCTTTCCAGGAATTGGCTGCCTTGTGGGCACTGAGGCATGGAAACGCCATCCCATCTTTTACAGAGCAAATCAAACCCTTTTTTCTTTTTGTTTTTCAACTTTGCATTGTGCTAAGCATCAGTTGTGATTTCCCTGCCCATCTGCCCCATTACAACGTGTTTAAAAGGTGTATTCACAGAAGATGCTTTTTTGCTCCATTACAATGGGGCAGGCAAAGTAAGATCCTTGGAGTGACTTTTCATGACTGTACACCTCTCAGACACAGAAAAGCCCTTACAGCAAGTATTTTTAATTTTCCATAATGCTGTTTGAAGCACTACAGTTGAGGTTAGAATTGGCCTTGTATCAGCAGTGCCACAGCTCTGGTAAGGTTTACACCAGTCCTGTAATCTACAGGCCAGGTCACCTTATAAAGTGCTTAGAAATTTTCTGTGATTCAGTAACTAAAAAGCTGTATTGTGAGCTAATTTCTTACAGTAACCCATCTGTTACAGAGAAGGGGCTGACTTTTTCCCCATCATGTTGTGCTGTGTCACATAATCCTATTTTTTTTTTTTTTTACTTCCCTCTCCATTGCAGCTTAATGTCATCTTCCTTGGGATTGCTCTCTATAAAATGTTTCATCATACTGCCATACTGAAACCCGAATCTGGATGTCTTGACAATATCAAGTAAGTGGTTTTTCTCTGCCTCTTTCTGTCTTTTGCTGTTTATTCCCTCATTCCTCTGAGGAGCGAAACAGGGGAACCAGCTCTGCCAGCAGCAGTGCTAACCAGGGATGATAATACCTTGGGCTGTGGCACTGCAGAGTGGTTTCTAAAAGATACCAAGTGGCTGATGATGAAGCACTATACTGGGATTTGGCTGCATTGTTGGCGTTTTCCATTCAGTTTTGCATGAAGGAGGGAAAGTTACATTTTATGTCCTTGAAGCAGGTAACCTTCTAGTCTATGTAAAGAAAATTGTGCCCAATAATTACCAGCTAATTATTGCAGTCTCTACGGGGAAGGTGTTGAAACTGTTGATTATTACTACTTCTGTGTGCTCTGAGGGCAGCTGCCTTACACGTTTTCTGTTTCTTTTGGCCCCTGACAGATTCCATGACCCAAATTCTCCCCCAGAGTCTGATTGCTTTCAGCAAAGTTATTGAGATTTTACCTGGGGGTGCCCACATCAGCAGGTGGATGTGCTTGCCAGCCCAAGCATGTTTTGCCCTTGCTCTGGGTTAACATCTGAGCCTGGGCATCTTAATGTCTAGCAAGCTGCTTCATTATATTGATAGAGTATTAGTCTCTGTCAGTGCCTGTTTATTCAACTACCTCTGGCTTTAATTACTCTCTTCAAAAACACAAGTGAGATTTCAGGTGCAGTGCATGATAAGATTAGGAGCCTGCTAATTAATAAAACCATCTAATGAGCTTCAGGAGGAGGAAATTGTTGGGAGTCAGCGCTTTACTGCTCATCCAGGAGAGAAGAGTGTGGTGCAGCGCGGCTTGAAGTGGGTTCTCCTCTCTCTTTTGTGGTGGGAAAGGGAAAAGAGGCGTAAGGGGAGCTCGTTAGAAGATGTCTGAAATGCACAGTTGCAAGGCAGCTCTCAGCAAAGCTGTTGTGCTTACTGCTGAGCTGCTCTTGCAGATACATCTTTAATTTAAACCAGGTCAGGCCCCCCATGAAAACGTTCTTAGCCGGCAAGGCTTGCAGTGCCATTGGTGTGCCATGACCTGGCATGGTCCTTTGGGTGAAGTTTTCATTTCCTAGGTGCAGCTTCTGCCTTGAGGGCTGGGAGGAAGGGGAACTGGACTATGCCCAAATGCAGGAGACCCCAGTGAGCTCAGAAATCCTCAGAGCCCTCGTTCGCCTGGGTCGTGGGGAGTCTGCTCTGCAGGGAGCCTCAATTTCTCCTGCCATCGCTCTGCTATAAAATGAAATTAGAGCTGCAATCCCTCCTGGATGTCCAGGGTTGATCCCAGAAAAATAGTCTGTCATTTGGTCTTGGAAGAGGCATTAAAGGCATGGTACATTTAATAGCATTTGTTAATATGGCTACTTGTCATGCATTTGTGCTATGGGATTGCTCACTGAGAACAGTCTCTTTAAGGTTACCCACACAAAATCATCTTACAGTATGACATTTAAATTACAAACTAGAAAGAAAAAAACCCAACAAAACCCTTATAATTAAAGCAGAAATAACAAATGCCTACTGAATAATTTTCTTGAGCTAATATCTAGTATCTTTGTTTAAAATGCCAGGAATTTATACAACCAGTTGCATCAATTATAATGTCATTGTAAAATATTTTATAGGTTCTTTGGCAGATGAGTGTCTATTCCTGATTTGACTTCATTAAAACGTTTTGAAAACAGAAGCAATTAAAATACTTTTAAGTATGTTGCTGATACTCTTCCAAATGTGTTGCTTCATTACAAATTACTTTTTATGCTTGAGAAAATAAGAGCAACATAACATAAACTTGAGAAGATGCCAGACTCACCCTAGGAAGTTTATCAAACCAAGCATTTCAGAACAGACTTGATTGTAATCTGAATACCTAAGCAGGACATCATTAAGTCTCTAAATTCAAGACATGTGTTGTCTCAGTGTTGGATGTGCTTGAATTAGGGGGAAGTGTAGCTGGTAACAGAGAGGGGAATTCACCTTGGAGGGAAGTTTCCTAGGGAAGCAAGGGGCTTGCAATCTCTAGAAAATTCTTCAGTAAGATCACAGTTGTCTTGCAGATATGATCATCGTTTTGTTGCAGGTGAGATTGTGGTCTTCCTGTGCAGCCATTGGCACTAAGTCAGTTGCACAATGTGGATGTGTTACAGCAGCTCTGGAATAAAAAGCCATAGAACATGTTATTTCACAGGAGACCACATGGATCCTTTCTGGGCTTTCCTCCATGGGTCTATGGGGTTAGTGAAAAGGCACCCAGGTCCCAGAGCTTTGCATCTTGTTGTATCAGTTTCTATTTAATAAAACAAACTAAACCAAGGGCCTGCATTGGAGGGCCCCTTGCTGCCATCTGCATGTGACAGCTTTACAGCACATGGAGAGCTGAATGAGAGTTTGTTCTCCCAGCTCATTTCCTAGCATTACTCCAAGTTAGGCTGTGGTGAAGCTCTCGCAACATAAATCCTGAGCCTGTTTAACAACAGCAAAATACTTGATTCCCTATGGCAACGTAAAAATAAAGGCCATAAAATATTTTAATAGGCTGTTAATAAGTGCCCCTGCAATCTGGTCCTTGCCTATGTCACTTTAAAGGTTAGAAATACATTATGAAGTATAGAAAATAGAGAGCCAAATAACTCCACTTAAATTAATGAACTTGATAAGGGATCAGGTGTCACCTGGGATACCTTTAATTACTGCACCAACAGAAAAGCCATTCAAAGGGCAGTGCCTGAACCAGATGTTGTGCAGCTGATAGATTTGTAGGCACTGTGCAAAGTTGTAAAAATAAACTTCCCTAACCTTCAGGAACAGTCCCCGGATTATTGTGCCAGCATGGGAGATTCTGACATTCCTGCTGTGGGGCACTGGCTACCCAGGGGTTACCTAGCAAGAGATTTGATGAGTACAGAGCTGGTTTATTTTTGTCATGGTTAACTTTTCTGGCTTAGCCCAGCACTTTCAAGAGGGAAGTAGGATACCAACAGAATTCAACAACAGGAACCAGTAACCACATATGTGGGTCCTTCCACCTGTGCCAGTGGCATCCTTCCTGGATGACAGGTTGGTACTGAGCCGACTCAGTGGGTTGCACCCACTGAGACAGCAAGATTCGTGCTCTAGTCCTGCTTTTGAGGCATGTAGCCAGGAAAAGATGTGAGCCTATGTGTGTGGAATATGTTCAGAGCTGCAAGAGTTTCTGTGCCTGCCACTGATGCCAGGAGGACATTGGCTTCCATTTCATAAGAGGTACCATCCCCAAAAGTTGCATGCTTTTACCTAGGCCCTTATGAAAAAAGTTCTGTTTGATGTCTTCCTTCAGTATATTTACACAGAAATTTTAAGGCTTCATCCAGAGTGGGGATTTCTTCTGCCCTTTAAAGATCTCTTTAGTGACACAGACAAGAATGCCCAAACAGCTGCCTCTTGGGTGGTGTGTGTAGCTTCTCACCGTGCTTCCCCAAATACAGGCTGGGAGGGCATTTTCCTTCCCAGCCTTTTACAATGGCTTTCTCTGAGTGCTTGAAGTCCACTGTGGCTGTTGCTCTTTCATCTGTGTGTGGCTTGTTGGCAAACACAGGTGAGCAGAGATGTGCGGAGAGGAGCGTTGTTTAGTCCTCTGCAGCTCTGCCCACTTCACACGTATCTCACTCCTGGCCCATCTCAGGCTAAAAGTGGGATGTAAAGGGTGCACAAAAGGGCTCTTGAGCACAAACGAATTTACTGTCAACAAATGTAGCCAGGAAGATGTTGTTTTGGAAGATTTATTCCCCCAGCCCTTAGGAGCTTGCAGGGAAGGCACATCTTTTAAGCCAGGGACTACGTAAGCTTTTTGAATGGTGAAAGCCTGCTGTGCTGCTTGCACCTGTAGCCTGTGAGGTGGAGACTGTAGGCATATCAGCACAGTATTGATGCACTCTTGCTAGCAGATGGCTCCTCATGAGGATGTGTTACCAGCTGGAATTCTTTAGAGCAGCTGTGAGGCTGTTTTCCCGGAGGTTGCTGCTGTGAGGAGTGATTTCTGGAGCCGAGCAGCTCAGAGTCTCTCCTTCATGCTTTTCCATTGTGCAGGGAAGATGTTAGGTGTGCAAAATGTCTCAGACTGTTTCAGACAAGACTACTCTGAATCCTTTTCATATTCACGTTCCTGTAGGAAGCCTTATGAGACAACAGAAAATGTTATACATTCGGTTCTTTAACAGTTCTTCCATTTTCTGTCCATCAGCTCCTTTCCAGGTGGTCAGGCCTGTACTGTGGCAGCTTGCACACCAGGTTTCCATCCAGCCCATGCCAGATGCTGCAGCACAACAAACCATCCACGCTTCCAGATGCTTAACCACCATTCTCTGTGCAAAACAGGGTTTCAGATGAAGCCTCTCCTAAAGTGGCTTTGCACGGCGTGGCAGTGCAGTGCTTGTTCTGCAGCCGTTTAAATACTGCTCATTCAAGTCATTGTGGTTATAGTGAGGGGAAAAAAAGAGGGGCTACACTGATGGTAATCCAGATGTGCTCTTGATACCTAGTGAAATCTGAGCTCTTGTCTTTGCTGCAAGCTCTACTGGGCACTGTGTGGGGCTCATTAGTTAACAACATGGAAAACTGCTGGAAAATTAGGAGGGGAGTACAGTCATTTAGCTAAAAAAAAGGCAAGTCCTACAAACAGATTAAGAGGGTTGGTTCATCAGTGGGGGCCCAGCAGCTGCTGCACCTGAAGTTGCAGTGGACTTTTCCAAATGGCTGGAGGGGAGAGGATGTCTCTCAGCAGAGACTAGAAGCCATCATTTTCTCTTCCTTACAGACATAACCTTTCCTTTGAAGTTCCCATGGGCATCCATCCCTTCTCTCCCTGGTTGTGGTTGAGTCTGTTAGTGTTTCCCCAGGCCAGACCAGACTTCCTGACATTCTTCTGTGCTGTAGTATGTGGCAAGGAGATTTTATTTTGTTTACTTTGGAAGAGTAAGACGTCAGCTGTAGCTGCCAAGAGCAGTTGCAGAC